ACGGAAGGCTGGAATCAATTATCTAAACAATTCATAAACAACGGGATTCACACAATAAAAGCAAAAAACACCGCAAACGGTATCGCGATTCAAACAGTAGACGTGGAAAATTGGCGCAAAGCAACTAAATTTTTGGAGGGTAAAAACCTAGGTTTTTACACCTACCAACTGCGATCAGAAATACCACTACACGTGGTATTAAGAGGACTCCCAGCAACTATGAAAGCTGAGGAAGTTAAAGAGGACCTTATCGAACAAGGTTTTGAAATTTTAGAATGCCATCAGCTAATATCTAGAGTAGGCGGCAGAGGTGCACTGCCGCTTTTCTTGGTAAAAACACCTAAAAACGCGGATAAAAACATTTATGACGTTGCGAGGTGTTGCCACTTGGTGGTGCGGGCCGAAGCCCAGCACAAACCGAAGGGCCGCGTCTCGCAATGCCATAAATGCCAATGGTTTGGGCACGCACAAAAGTGCTGCCACTCGCAGGCCAGGTGCGTTAAATGCGGTCAAAATCACGAATCACGGGATTGCATGCCTAACATAACAAAAGAGCAAATTAAATGCGCAAATTGCGGTAAAAATCATACAGCCAGCTACAGGGGATGCGAAGTATTCCCTAAAATTAAACCAAAAACACAGACAAACACTAACACAACACGACCCACAACACAACCAAAACCACAACAACAAAGACAAACACAACCACAGACGCAACAACAACAGCCACAAAGACAAGAAACACACACCACAAACACAAACACAAATACACTCCAAGGCCTAATGGCCGGAATCACACTCAAGGACATAGAGAAAATGAAAGCATTCATGTCTCTTTTCAAACAACTCAACAACGGACAGTAAATGCAAGCACAACGTTTACCTGAATCACTTAAGATCAGTTAGTGGAACCTGCACGGTGCAGCACTCCGGAAACCGGAACTAATGGAACTCCTCTCGAGAATCCAGGTAGACGTTATGGCTCTGCAAGAGACGTTACTAACACCTACTAAAGACTTCCACATACCAGGTTACACTTGTTACCGAGGAGACAGACTCACAAGACACGCATCAGGCGGAACCCTACTACTCGTGAAAACGGACATCACACAGAACCTAGACAGAAAACCGACACTCACACTAGGTGAAACAGTAGCGGTCACAATAAACACTACACGCGGAAGACTAAAAATCATTTCGGTATACATCCCACCAGGACCAAACATTACACGTGAAGAGATCAGCGAATGCTTTCCAGACCACTTACCAACAATACTAATAGGTGACTTAAACGCGAAATCCAGAGACTGGAATTGCATTAACGACAACCCACGCGGACGGAAACTGACAAACATACTCTCAGAACTAGACAACATTTACGTAATAGCCCCCCACCTCCCGACTCACTACCCAACGCGAGAAAACGCAACACCGGACATACTAGACATAGCACTAATACAATCAATAGCGACTATAGTAGAGATAGAGACACTAGACGAAGGGACAGCCGACCACAATCCCATACTAATCACGATAGGCGACGAAGACAGAACAGACATACAAGACACAAAAACAATCGTGGACTGGTCAAAATACCAAAGGACTGTACACAACACTATAGGGGACATACCACGAATAGAGACTAGACACGACCTAGACCAAGCCGTAGCCCACCTCGCGAGGGCAATTAAGGAAGCAATGGACAGATGCTCGAAGAACATACCAACCACTAAATTCGAACTCGAAATTCCTCCTAACATCAGAGCAATGATCAGAGAAAAACGCCAACTAAAACGACGCTTCCAACGTACGCTTGCCCCAGATGATAGAAGAGAGTTGAATAATGCCTGCAGAATCCTGCGGCATGAACTCAACGAACTCCGAAATCGTCAGTGGCAAAGCAGGTTGGAAGAGCTCAACACCGAGGACAACTCATTATGGCAAATCCAGAAAGTACTTAGACACGGCAGACGAAAACCATGCCCACCAATACACGGAGAACAAGGTATTGTGTACACTGACGCTGAGAAGGCAGAAGCTTTTGCTGACTCCTTCGAGCGGCAGTGTACAGAAAACAATGTTCCAGACACAGACGAAGTCAGGGAAACAGAACGACACACAAACAGAACAAAAAGACAAATCAGACTCACAGACGACACGAACCTCATCATAGACCCCAGCTCACCGGAAGAGCTTAGATTAATAATAAAAAACCTAAAGACGCGTAAAGCCCCAGGCATGGAAAACATACCAAACAGGGCCCTTAAGGCCCTGCCGAGACGCGGAATAGCCGCACTGACAAACATTATCAACGCTATACTGAGACTACGTTACTTTCCAAATGATTGGAAGTTTGCTACAGTAATAATGATCCCAAAACCAAACAAAAACCACACGTTTCCACAAAACCACCGTCCTATCAGTTTGCTCCCATCCATGAGCAAAGTGGCAGAACGAGTCATCCAAAGACGACTAACAACAATGTCTGAGGAATTAAACGTGATCCCAAACGAACAATTCGGTTTCAGGAGAAACCATTGCACAGAACTCCAAGTTCTCAGAATAGTAGATTACGCGATTACAGGATTCAATCTCGGAAAAGGACATTATACTGGAGCAATCTTCCTTGACGTTTCGAAAGCATTTGACAGGGTCTGGCACGACGGACTACTGACCAAAATGACAGACTACGGGTACCCGATATCTATGGTAAAGCTAATAGCCTCCTTTCTGCGGGGAAGGCGATGCCAATGTAAAGTTGGCAACGAAATCTCTGCAGAGAGGGAGCTAGAAGCAGGAGTACCGCAAGGCGCGGTCCTTTCACCACTACTTTTCTCCATTTTTACCGCAGATATCCCTAAACCCGCGAACAACTTCAACAAACTCGCACTATACGCCGACGACACAGCCATAATTGCCAGATCCAGTAACGCAAACATGACAGTACGATACCTACAAGAACAAATCGACACACTAGAAACCTGGTTCAATAACTGGAAGATAGAAATCAACGCAGAGAAAAGCCAAGCTGTTCTCTTCACTAGACGACGCACAAAACCTACAGGACACGTAATACTAAACGACATACAGATACCATGGGCAGACGAGGCTAAATATCTAGGGGTAACCCTAGATAACAAACTCACCTTCAGACAACACATCACAACACGACTAAACTTGGGTAAAGCCGCAAGGCAAAACCTACAGCCTCTAATAGGTCGCAGAAGCAACATGGCCCTAGAGTTGAAGCTGCGCCTAATAAGAACCATTCTACTTCCAATAATTTTGTATGCATCAAGTGCATGGGGCCAATGCGCAGAAACATACAAAAAGCGAATACAGGCATTTCTGAATGTCTCAATAAGAATGGCAGTAAATGCCCCATGGTATATCCCAAATAGATTTATCTATAGGGACCTGAACATAAACCCAGACTACATAGACAACTACATAAGACAACACGCGGAGACTACATTCGGAAGAACGGCAACCCACGAGAACCCGCTACTGCACGACCTGACCAACAGACAATTAAATCAAGACCCGCGCTTCGGAAGAATAAAGTACAAGCGCCCAATTCACCAAATATAAGATAAAAGAACGGAATTAAATCAATATCAATAAAAGGTGCATAATAATCATCAGATAAATAAACAATAGAGTCTCTCCTTTGATACCCTATAAAAAGTTAACCAATAATAATAAGACACAAACACAATTTTTGCTTCCCATTAGGGTAGGGAACCACCACGCAAAGTCAGGCTAGGAAACACACATTAGACAAAAAGGTTTAAAAGTCGGAAGACTGAAACCAAGTAAGGGGTTATATAAAACATATGCAGATTGCCAAATGCATAAGGTTGAAGTCCACTCGTTAGTGAGTGGGGGTGGATGGACATGGGGATGAGGAGCTATCATATAACGTAAGCTAGTTATATGGCGGCACTTGATCCTGGGCATTCAACCTTTCGGGGGGCGTGGTGTGTGTGTGTGTCACACCCTCAGTTCGCTCGAAGGAGTGAACAGGTTGAGACCTTAGAGAGAACCAGTACCCGAACTCCTAGTTTTCAAATATCTGACCGCGGAAATGTATCCGAACATAATGTATACATATAATGGTATACTAGTTCACGAAGTACAAGCACGTGTTCTTCTTAGGACTGTTATATTAATTTCTTTCATTGAATATGAATTTTCAAATGAACAATAAATTAACACTTCGACGAAGTGATTTACAAGTTACTCAGTTTTCACTTCTATCGGCAGCACCCCAAAAGGTGCCTCAAACTTTTTTCTAAATCTATATGGTGACACACATCTATTTCAATTCCAAGAGACACATTATTGAGCAAGATCAGATCTTCTGTAGTTAATGAATCAAAGAAAACATGTTCATAATCCATGAAAAAATCATTTCCTGCTTGCCTTTTATTATTGTGACAATAAACATCTTCCACACTCGATGAATACGAAGGTAACGTATGATTTTTTCAACTCAAAATCGATCTAACTGCACGTTTTCGAAATTTTTGTATTTCATCAAACTGCTTATTATTTGGGAAACGTGAAGAACTTCAATGATCAATATATGAGATGCAATGACTTGAGTATGGTTTATTTGGTTAAATGAGACATTTCATCACCAAGCTTGTACATGAATCAACGATAAGAAGAAAACATGCTCAATTTTATTTTTCTCGATACTCATTAGCATTATGCAGTGTGTTGATTGATTTAGTGCCGATATCACAAGGCGTGAATTCTCGGGTGATTTCAAAGAGAAAAGTTCATTTCAACATAATGTCCTAAACCTCTTAGTTTTAGAGCTACAGAGTGTTATCAGAGGCGTACAGTATTTTTTCTTATTCAACACATTCAATATCAGGCCTACGTTAACATCACTGCATGGTTGAAAAAAAAAAGATTTCTTTACAAAAAAAAGGTGTTTCCACTCTCCTACCAAATTTTGACAAAATACCAGAAACCATCTCAATCAACTGGAGAAAAACAAATGTTTGGTTATTTTCTTACGCGAAACCGGTACGCCGTATGAAAGTAAGTCTATGAACGAAATTTCCTTCAAAATGAATGGAGATTACAGGAATAATTCTGATTTTGGAAAGAATCGTACCATGTTTTCTTCAAAAATTAGTTAGTTAGTTCTAACTCCATACGTCACTGGTAAAGATTTTGAAAGGCTAGAAAATGCTCCTTAATGATGAAGAGGTGTGTTCAAAATTTCATAAAAATGTCTAATATTGTATGAAGATTATGTTAGAAAACTTTTTTTTTCTCAAAAACTGAGAATTTGAGGACATATATCGATATTAACTAATCTTCTTGAAATCACCCTGGGATTAACACCTTGCATTATCGGCATACACTGTTTTTATATTCCAATAGGTATACCTATGAATAGTATGAATGAAATAATTCATCAACAGTAAATTGAATATTAATTACAACCTTTACCTCTTTGATGAAGTGGGTGAAATGAGCTCTTTTTTTGTTCAGATCACAATCAGTGGTCAGCCTAATCTGTTCCACTGGGTTCAGAAGGATATCACTTTAGTAGATCATGGAATGAAAACAATCTATGCCTCAAGTAGTGGTTTCAATGATTGCACTCACCGTATAGATTTCTGGTTCCTCTCGAATTAATGTTAATATTGAGTTTCAACTTTACAAGAGATAAGAATAATAAAAGGGATGGTGAACGGATACAAATTTGGATGAAAGAATACGATATGAGATGAGATAATGATATATTAGCATTTTATTACATCATATTACATTTCTATGTTCCCAGTTTGTGTCCAGGACCATTGGGCTCCTGGTGGAGGAAGAGATTCTGGACAGATGTGCTTATTTTACGATTGCTGGTTACAGAACACTCGCTTTCCCAAGTTTCAGTGTCAAGGCGGATATCTTCCATCAAACTCTTGAATTTGTACAGCGGGCAATCAAAGACTAAGCACCCTTTTGGTATTATCTTCTCGAAATTGTCTCCGTTTTTGTAGTAGACATTGATGAAATATACGCCGAGTAGATGTCGCAACTCGAAATAAATGGTGCTGGCGAAATATGGCGCATATGTTTGGACGGCGCCCAAAGTTGAAAGAATTTGGGCAATGTTGGTGTCATGGGCACTGTACATTTGATATTTGGGAGTACTCGTGGAGTTCTTCATGTCGTCAAAGTGGTTGATGAGTGTGTCGATGAAAATTCCAGTACCTTGAAAAGAGTTGATTTAGAGAAAGATAATTATGAAGAAATTTTGAATTTTTACAGGTAATAGATAGTAGGGATGAGGAATTTGAAAACTTGCAGTAGTTTTCAAACCTTGAGTTGATATCCTATTCTTAAGAAAATTTAATTCTTCTGGAAGTCACATTTCAAAACAATTCCAATACTTCCATCCCCTCCCTGTTAATGTTCTAAAAACGAATATTTCCTCTTCACGAAAAAAAAAAGGATTCTTCGAATCAAGCAAAATTTGATTGAAAGAAGCAAATATATGTGTCATATATGCACGACACAATGTAATCTTGAAATGAGTGGATGTGTATCTTGTTTCAGTGCGAATTTAATGTTTGAATCAAGTAAATATGTCTTGCATGAACTCTGGATCTTATTCAATCAAGCACATCCATGATTGTTTATAAAGAGATATGGAATTGGCTCAAATAACAATATATTGATACAATCAAATATTCAATTGATTCAACCTTCCATCTAACAGTAGATTTTGATATTTGAGTTAGATTTTTATGTCCACATGTTTTTCTCGAAGATCATTCGGAATATCGCTCAAGGTTAATAGAAATCTAAATAATAGGTCATAGTTCTTTCCACCTTAGATCAACAAATGCGTTACCTATCTCACCTGAAGGATCTCATACGTTAATGCGTCAAAAATATCGAAAAAGTGTGTGAAATCGTGAAAATATATGCACATATGTACTTTTCAATCTTTCCATTATTCCATGGTGCCTAGAGAACGTGACCACTTTTTCAATGATATTTTACATTGACATGTTACATTTAGGCGTGGTTTCAATGATTTTTTAACGTTACGTAACAAACTCCATCACAGTATACCTTCGCAGGTGCACAAGTGTGGAGTTTAATGATTTTTCATCGCACTTTCACTTCTATGGAGAGAAAGAATTTTCAAAAATGTACTATCAAAAAGATTTCATCATCAACAGGTAGAGTTTGAATCTGCTTAGCCATCTGAAAACAAAAGCTGCTGGGATGCGAACAAATTGTTAAAGCTAATGCTATCAACCCTTTCAAGTTAGTCCGGTACACCTTATTTAAATGTAGATATTGTGCCTGATTTCCGAAAATAAAGGTTCATTGAATCTGTCCACAGGAAAGTAGGATATATAAGTTGAGAAAGCCAAGGTAACTTTAGTTCATTGTACCAGTATATCACCTGACGAAGATACTATTTTAGCGAAACATTTCGAGTGTTTGAGAATTTTGTAGAAATCTTGTTGATTGTGAAGTTTTTACATTTGCCATGGATTCTCATCAAGTAACGGCCAAGTCAATTCAAAATTTAATGCATTCAGTTGTTATTCTTTGATCACATCAGAGTCAATCTTTTCCTGGAAATTCTAATATAGTGGAACACATGTCAACCCGTTTGAATATCATTCAGATAAGTAGTGATTAGTTCGATTTGATAAATGATCAGTTCATTCTTTATACTCTACGTGTTATACTCACTTAGTCTTGCTAATTTCGTGTTATATGCATAAGACTGGAATGCATAACCCCCCAGAGTATTGAGTGGCTCAGGAAAAACCGATTTCGTCCAATCAGGTAGAGTATATCCAAATTCATTCTCAATAAGCAGCACATCGCGAACTTTATTAGCATCTGTTACCGACGTAATTTTGCTTCCACTATTGAGAGTGATGTATTCGTAAACGCTCCTATATTCCTCGTCGATGTCTTTATAGTAGTCTGTGTCCAACAAAACCCTGTCAACTTCTTCAGTGTAAGCGGCACAAGATGTGTAGGGGCTCATTACTCTCGGGTCCGAAACGTGGACTGGTATCGGTTGCCAGGGGAAATTTTCGTTCCAGACTTGATCACCTTCGGAGGGAAATAATCCAGCGAGATCGCATTGGGCAGACATGTGAGTTCTATCGACGTCTGTAGTTTGCACTCGGAAAGTCAGGGGAGAGTAACGTCCTAGCCAGCTACCATACCTTTGGCGAGTGAAATTGCCTAGAGTGTAGTGTTGATGCATACCAGTCTGCAAATGGGTGAAAAATAATTACATTTCTTCATAGCTGATGAATTTGTAGAGAGAATATGAACAAGGCATGATCGCATGAGATTATGGCCGTAGGTAGGTAAAGCAAATTCTGAAGTTCCAAAGAAGTCATGGATCTATATTGAACCTTACTATACTTGCAGGGTTCAATGAGGGACTTTGCTTCGATTTGCCAACCCAAGAATCTCTACCAATGTAGAAGCAACATTTCGGTTGTGTTGCGTGTTCAAAGTTACTATCGCAGCTGGTTTCGATAGTTTATCGCGATAATTGCAACCAAACTTTCAAAACTCGAAATGTCAACTAATTTCGTGTCAAATAGCTATCAGCCGATATTTCGCTGCTATGGTAAATATCATCTGCAATTATCAAAACCATATCTCTCAAGATTTTCATAGTTACAGTGACAACATTGATGTGATACTTCCCGGCTAGTCCAGGAAGTAGGCCGGAGAAATGCTTCTTCTCAAAGGAAAAGCGTCCGGGAAGTGAGCACTTCCTGGACGGTTGCCGAAAAACTAATTTTCCTTCTGAATAACTCTCATTAGAATGCTAAGAAGACTTCTACAATCAGATTTCACCAAAATGAAGCTATTTGAGTAATCCTACAGAGGTAGAGTATTTTAGTTTGGCAACTTAGAGTAAAGTTTCCCATTGGATGCTGTCTGCTCTTGATACACGAAAAGCTCTTGAACCTCATGGTGATTCATTTTCTCAGATAGTATGAGGTCGGTGATTGATCGCCAAGAAATAATGAGGTGATTCTTGTTTGCATTAGCCATACTCACACCCAAGTTGGGTTGATGAGAAAACTGGTCATTGTTGTGCATTATGTCGATATAATGTTCCTATGATATCTCATTTGGTGTAATGATTTCTAGAGTCACTTAGTTAGATATGAGAAGTATGAGAACATTCACTTGTTATTATTACTGGTGACCTTCCGACAAAAAAATTCGTGAATTCTGAATGAGCAAGAAGAAGTTATCCATATGCAACTTTTGATATTGTGGGAACTCGTGGTGATGGATGAATGGCACCGAGGTATGGTGTCGCTAACGGGGCCTCTGGGAAACAGGGAGACATCTCAGAGTAAGTAGCATTAGCCCTGTGCAGGGGGTACCACAGGGCTGGACCAACCCCTTTCCTCGTCCCTCGTAGGAAAAGGAAAACTTTTGGCCTTCTTCGTAGACGAGAACATAGATCGGAAGAGCAATCTTCAGGAACCAGAACGAAAAGGGTCTTTCATATTGAAGTGACCCTTAAGAAGCACCATGAGTCGAATATGGTAAAATTGATAACGGCATGTAGGTAAGATACAATGGGCCACTAGGTCTAAGTGTCGTCGGAGACTTCAGTCAGACGAGCCTACAAACGGGGTGGAATGTTTAGTGGGTATACCTGGAGTCAGGGGACTCCCACACTATCATATGGGGGATTGGACCCATATGGTGTCCATAAAGGATTTCAACCACCTCGATGAAAAAAAAAACTTTCAATATGAATTTAGGATCAACGACTCTTGCCTGCGTGTACGTATTTGGAATTTAAATTATTATTCCTTATCGAAGATATCCAATATAGGAAGAGGAAGATATCTCATTATAATCTTGTAGACATTACCTAGATGAGGTAAAAACATTTTGTAGTCTAGCTATACTTAGAAACGTGATTCTAGACTGATCAAAGTCAGTTGGAATTGTGAAAACATCCAAATTGTAATAATTCCTCCAAATTTGGGATTGAAGACTTTCTGAATGGACACGCAGAAAAACTTTTATGTTTGACATCAGATTGCCTCCCAATCTGGAATGAAATTACTTGAATTCAAATTCGAATATTCCCATTCTTAATTCAAATCTGATCCGTTCGCTTTCTTTCAGTTGATTCATCATTGAGAAGCAATGGATCAATTTGGAAATTATAGAATTATAGTTGAGTTGAATTTGAGAAGTTATAGATAGAATACCATCAAACTTTCTCGAGAATCCATCCCTCACCTAAATATGTAATCATAATCACCTTGTATTGTTGCAAGTATTTATGAGAGGCCGTTCAGGCAAGAAGTTAGAATTTGGAGGATAGTTCATTAAAAGGTTCGTGGTTATCTTGTATTTTTTCATTCAAATTCATTCGAACAATTCCGGAGATGATTGTAACGTCTGCTACTTTTGTTGATCATAGGATGTTACATCAAATAAGACCTAGATTTAGAATCAGTTCATGGTGTGATGAAGCGGGGCTCTCTGTCAATCCGACAAAAACAGAGATGATCCTATTCACCAACCGAAGGAAAAGGGACGGGTTTAAACCACCTATTATGTTTGGCCAAGAGTTGGAGTTAGTCCAACAGGTCAAATACCTAGGTGTCGTCTTGGACCCAAGACTCTCATGGATGCAACACGTAGATAGGATCGTGCCAAAGTCGGTGGCAATTCTTTGGCAACTAAGGAGGGTTGTTGGGAGAACTTGGGGTATTAACCCCGAGATCATGCGCTGGCTATACACAGCGGTCGTAAGACCAAAGATTCAGTATGGATCAGCTGTGTGGTGGCCAGGTGCAGAAACCAGCACAATCAGTCGAAAGCTCAGTAAAGTTCAGAGGATGGCCTACCTGGCGATCACAGGAGCAATGAGGACGACGCCAACTGCAACCCTGGAGGTACTGCTGGGGCTGCCTCCGCTTCCAATCTGGATTAAGAGGGAAGCAATGGCGGCCTATCTGAGGATGTGGGACTCTGGGAGTTGGGCTAACGGAGGAGCAGTGACAGGTCACGCGGAAATTGCGACATGGGTGGAGCAGGAGATCCCTATCTCCACCCTAAGAGTCCCAGACAGCACCAGATATTCCATGAATCTCCCTATCATATTCCTTTTGGAAAATTGGAATATTCTAGAAATAATCTGGAATATTCCGGAATATCTGTGGAATATTCTCTAAATATGCGAATGGGAATTCCTCAGATATTCATAGAATATATCCAAAAGAATATTCCATGTTGAATATTCCTGGAATATTCCAATAAACATATTCTAAAATAAAAAAAGTGACCCTAGTAGGGATCGAACTCGTGACCTCAAGATTATCAGACCAACGCCTTGACCACTAGGCCAGTAATCGAATTGAATTATGTTGTACATATCAATTTCTTGTGAGAGCGTTGTTCGAAATCGGATCATAAATACTTTTTGTTTCAAAATCCCCTTACATCTAATTTTGATGTTCGATACTCACAACTCTGAAATAATGATGGGTATTTATGTGTTGAGAAACATAGGAATATTCATGGGATATTTCATGAATATACACCACAGAATATTCAGTTGAGAATATTTCATGAATATACCGCACAGAATATTCAGTTGAGAATATTTCATGAATATACCCCACAGAACATTCAGTTGGGAATATTTCATGATTATAAAAGAGAGAATATTCATTTGGGAATATTCCTGGAAAATTCATACCTGAATATTCCCTGAACATCACTTTGGAATATTCCTTCTAGATGTTCCAGAGGCATGTATATATTCTAGGAATAATCGATGAATATTCGGAATATACTCCTCCTTTTTAGCATATTTAGAGAATATTCTAGGAATATATAAGAACGCCCAAAATAGGCTGAGATGGAATAAAAGGTTCACCCTCACTATTCCAAGCAGGGAACAATGGTAAGAGAACAGAGTGGAATTCCACCCGGGAAGTCTAGTATGTTATACGGACGGATCGCACCTAACTGACAAACAGGACTCAGGCGCAGGAATTTACCTAGAAGGATTAGGCATAAGGGAGAGCTACGCTCTTGGAAAGTATACCACAGTTTTCCAGGCCGAGGTCTTTGCCATTCTGGCAGTAGCGGAGAGGCATGAGGTGAAAGAGGGACCAGAGCAGAAGGTTTACATCTGCTCGGATAGTCAGGCGGCTCTCAGGGCTGTCTGCCATCCTAAACCAAGCTCAGCCTTGGTGCAGGAATGTGGCGATGCTCTTGAGAAACTAGCTGAACAGAAGGAAGTCGAACTAGTATGGGTTCCGGGGCACAGGGGGGTGCCCGGGAACGAGGTGGCCGACGAGCTGGCTAGAATCGGATCCGCGATACCGTTCTGGGGACCGGAGCCTGCACTGGGCATAACAAGAAGCCAAACTTCGTCTGCCCTTAACAAATGGGCGGACGAGGCACTAGAAGTATATTGGAGGCGTATAGGCGGCTGCAGGCAATCGAGAGACCTGGTGGCCGGTCCAAAGCAAGCCAAGGACGGCTTGGCTGCTGGGCAGGGATCGCCAAGTCCTGCGCCTTCTTATAGGGATACTGACAGGGCATAACAGGTTACGCAGACACCTATCACTCATAGGTGTGGAAGATAGTCCCACTTGCCGTGAATGCAAATAAGATGAGGAGACATCACTTCACTTCCTCGGAGAGTGTGAGGCGTATGGAAGGATGAGATTCGAAATCTTTGGAGTAGATAAACTACAACAGGAAGATTTGGTCGAATTAGAGTGGACGGGCATCCTGACCTTCATCAGAAGGACGGGAAGGTTCGAAAAGGACAACTAAAAGAGGGATGTGTAGATATGTGGAGAGCAGGGGTTGGCAAAAAGGGCCCATGGGGGCCTACTTGCCTGGCTACAGCCTCCCCACAATACTACTACTACTACTACTACTAGAATCAGTTCAAGAAGCATATTCTAATGACTATGCCCAATATATCTTGAAGTGGTAACATCGCCTCATTTCCATGTACCAAACAAAATGTTTCGAGGATTGACAAACAAATTACCATCGAAATCTGATGTTCAGTGATTAGAGGCTAGAAGAGATATACTGAAGTTTGCCTTCGGAAAATACTGTTTTCAGGGAATGAGTTTTTTAACTGCAAACAACAATAACTCTAGAATTCTATTACATAAGATAACACGAGATATGACACCCAAGATAATGAGTGATTTCTCCAATTGTGAAAATATTTAAATTCAAGACTACTCCAATGGTGGAGGTGATTATATGACTCATGCTTTTTATTGCACTTAATTTCACAATCCTCTCAATGGAGATTTATATTTTTAGATTCACATCATTCACCATCCTGATGATAGTTATCTGTGACTGGAATCAAATTAATTTTATAATGTGAAATATAACACGATAGGTTGTGTGTACCTTGTGATTTCTAATATCAAGAGACGAAGTCTATAGTAAATACACAAACTTTATTGAAAACGAATTCCCAAACATTGAATGGGGTTACATAGTAATGTATGACAAATCTAATGTTTTACTCTTGTACAGTAATGTTTTTTTTTTCAAATTTTGAAGAGTTCGTTTGATTATATCAAAGTTTGTGTACTATGACCTTCAATTTTCATATTCTGAATCAAATTGTACATCTCCATATTATGGATATCCATGAAATGTCAATGTCATCAGCAAAGACTGTGAAGCATTCTAATGATATCTATGTCGTATGGTCATTCAAATTCATCTCAAATGATATTGGCCCATCAACGTTCCTTCGTGGTACATTGATTGATCCAGACGAAGTTATGATTTGGAGCTATATTCGATATTACTGCAATCACGTTATGATCAGCTGTTTCCGATGATTTGAACTAGAATTGCCGAATCTTATTGGAATTCATCATTCCATTCACTTTCGAGCAATCCTGATCTTTCAATTTGATAAATCCAAATTTAAATCTTCAATATCGAAGGGTTGACAAGTTATGGAGTCCCAATCAAATCATGTACTCACTGTGGTTAATTGTCCTGCGGTGACTGGCCAATAATAATCTTTATCATACCGGTCGTTCTCATAGTACCAAATCGGAGTTCTCTGACCATGTCGAAATACCTATAAATAAAGAGAAATATAAACCACACAATGGTCTTCCCAAGAACGGTTATATCATTTTTGTAATTCTATATTATGTTGGATGAATTACAATGAATGCGGCATGACGTAATGATAAATACTGTTTCTCCATAGCAGTGCAAAGCTGTCCTTACAAATTGGGTATCTGATTCATCTACCTATTGGGTGATTTCTGACTCTGATTCAAGAATCCTTCCACGAAAACTCTGATAACTGAAAAGCTCATCAGATGAACCACAACAGACAATTTTTGAACTGAATTCGAAAAAATTATTATGTATGCAATATACACAATATTGAAGAATTTTTCATGCTACCATTTTGGAAAAAATAATCATGAATAAATCTTTGAGCACTAATTGCTTCGTAGGAATAATAGGTGAGAAAAGTGTGGTCAAATATCTACCTAGTGCAAAAAGTACTTCATGACTATACTGATTTCATATTTTAAAAGTTTACCACGGCAACATGTACTATACCCGATAAACCTATAAAAATTGAAATATCAGTAACAAATGTTTCAAATTGAATGTTTTTTTTTGTTTCCATGATAACGAAAGGTATGTTGAGCTCACAGCACGAATTCAACCATTTTACATTATAAGTTGCTATTTCCATTCATTGTAATGATACTACAAGAAGTATTGATGATCTCAATGTGTACCGATGAACAAATTTGGTCTTCAAAACACTTGCTCTATTTCGCTCGTGTTTTAAAGACCTCAATGTCCCCTTATACTTAAATGAATTTCTTCTCAAATGAATCCAGTATTTACCATGCATTGTGAATGATGTTTCAGAAATTAATTTCGGGTTCACTTTTATCAGAAGGAATTCATAAAAATCCATCAAGATGTACATGGTAACATTAAAATGAATACAAATATTTTATATCCTAAGAAAGCTCGACGTATACCATCGAATGATACCAATGATGAAAATATAAGTATCCTGACGTCACCTCTGTGCAAATCTCCTAGCACAGAGAGTACAATCCTTCATATTGCCGTGAGAGGACGTATTTTGTTCAATTGTCAGAGTGACATATCTCAATAATTACAAAAATTATAAACAATTTGATATTTTGGGATTAATTGGTTCACTTTTTCTGAAACGAATTCGTGAAAATCCATCAAGATGTACAGTGCATCTCATTTTGGTTGAGACTGCCAGGTTTCTCGATTGTTATTTAAGGTAGAGGCTCATTGCGGTTGTCACCTTCCTTTCCTAAGTTCTTGTGAAATTCAAGATTGTCTAATCAGATTTCGCAAAACTGTTATTTTTTCATGAGATACAGGGGGATTTTGAAAATGTATACTCTTTGGACGACCCCCTATATATCTACGTAGTTACGAGTAATAATGTTGCGCTACGAACTGTGTCTAACAGAGAATTTTATGCAGAATCGAGTGACGTACTCTGAAATTTTTCTAGGGGTGCAGTTTCGGAGATACGGCACAAATTCATATGAAACACCCTGTATTTCATCAATTCGTAAAATGTGATATTTTTTCAAAGGAACGAAGGAATGCTCCAAGTCATCTCCACCAATTCTGAGGGTGTTGTTACATAATCATAAGATTTATGTTTCGGTCTAATGAAAAACCATCTTCGCCTGATCGAAAGTATTGGTGTTGAAAACAAAATTTCTTTGATGGTTCTGGTGGTGGTATATTCGTCAATACCCATAGTCGAAGAATCAAATTATTAATGAGAAAACGGGTTCTCAATAAATGAAGGTCCCCGTGCCCTGAGAGCGCATACCATTATTTACATTGAAATTTCATATACCAAAATGGTATATGAAGGGTATTGCCCTAAGGTTTGTTTTGACAACTTAAATAGCGGATTTTTTAAAAAAGGGGTGCCCGTGCCCTTATGAAGCACTACTTGAGGAAAATATCAATGAAATTAATGGGGTAAACAGCCAGGACATGTTTAAAGCTAAATCTGTTTGGTTAGAAAATATTTTTTTGTCTTCAAAATGATGTATGATACGTCATACATAAGGTGTCCATAAATGTTGAAAAAACACTAAAACAATTAACTATGCTGAATTTTTACCATCCTACTCTGTAGCAATCCTGACCCCAAAAAATTTCCAAGATGAAGGCAATACCACGCGGAGTTCAATTATTCAAATTGTCTTTCAGTACATAATTCTTTTCCATTCCTTTCTCAATTTTCATGGTGAAATTTCCTGTTTATTAGAAGAATAAGGAACAATTTGAAATTTTGGAAATATTTGTTAGACTGTGTCATAATGATGTGTTGATTATATGTGTACTCAATTCAAAAACACCTCGTATAATGAAAATCATTTGATGAACATTAGACGAACTGATTTATAATGTTTCATCAATAACTCAATGAAATTTCTTTTGATCAGAAGTGACTCAAATACCAATTAGTGATAGTTTATTGCAAAAAGAATTGAAAGCTGAATGAAAAAGATATTATATAAAATATATTATTCCACCACAAAAGTCATGAAATTTTCAAATTCTCATTTCGTGGAATGACTGAGATTATTCATTGGAACAAGTCCAGTTAGGTACTAGTACATATTGTGAAGTTTTCACTATGTGTGAATATATTATATTACCTGCACCACGCTGATGAGGTTGCTCTCTGTTTGTACTATCAGAGATGAAACAATTGCGAGAAAAATGAATTTGACGAACATTTTTCTTCTTTTTTCGAATTGACAGAACTCACGATGGTCATTTCTTTGTTGAAAATTTATAGGAACTAGTCGCGATAAAAATCTCCATTTGGTTTGCAAATATTTGCGTTGATTGCCGGTCCTGATCCAGATTAATTACCTATGTCAAATATATTTTGTCATTTATTAGCACATACAGAAAAGCAAACCATAATTTCTGACTAGCTCATTAGTCCGGTCGATGAAAAAAAAAGATTGATTGTATCGTCGAATTTTAAGTTTTTTGATAGGGACATGGAAAAGAGTCCTGAACATCTAAAACATCAATAAAGTCCCAACGGATTGTGATGACGCGGAAGGTGAGGGTGCGTACAAAACAACTTCTCTCGAATTTTTGCGAATATATCATACAGAAATTGACCTCACAAAATTCACGCACAGAACTCTCCACAATAATGATAATGATTCACTCATAGAATCGTGTTTGAAAGACACTGAGAGAGTTGAGTATTTATCGAAATGCAAATTTCATTTGAAACTGAGACTAGAATCCACTCCTATGGTAGAGTTGTGACGTAACAGCCTTCCTAGTCCGAAACAAATATGTATTCATGTTGTACATTCCTCTTCACTCAATCTTATGCCTCTACACTAAACCGTTGATTGAGGTATTGGTTGGTACCTCAATCAACGACTAAACGTCTCGTGAGTATGTTTTCTGTCTCCCTTCTGCATCCTTATTTCTAACGCATTCATCTGTAATTTTAGTTTGCCAATTACGCTCTATGTCTCTCTACATCATTGTTGGATGAATAACCTTTCCAGTACTAGCCTTGTTCCTCAAATCAAAATTTTTCAACGGACAGTTGATTTCATCATGTAAGGATTTCTTCTGTGTTTTCCGGATTAATGTTCTATTTGTCGTCTAGTTTTTAAATGTTTTGGAATTCTAATACCAGTTATTTGTATACCTTTCAAATTGTCATTTGTTTCAGATACCTATGATTCGTGCTGTTTTTGCCAACTCTCTGTTAAAAGAATGTTTTGTTGTGTTGAATTGTACCTATGTGGATTATCATAAATTTTTATATATTTCTGAATATTCATTTCATTCTCCTATTATTCGACTGCAAATCTTTCATCCACCATCTGGTTATCATATTGTTCTCGTTCGCATTTTGAGTACACCTGTTACTTTCTCTTGCCAGCCCTTTTTGAAACATCCTCGAATGATTCCAAATCTTCCTTACCACTTTCGATTCGTCCTGGTTTAATCATGAATAGTTGAAAAAAGCAGGAATGCAGAAGGATGCGTTGGAGCAACTTACTGTCAAAACAAGAAATGATGCTTCCTATCTCTGTATAGATCAACGACCTTCGTTATCTTTGATCAACTCACAAGTTATTTGATAGATAATTGAATGATATGTCAGGGCTTGTTTTTACGTACAATGCTACCCACTGTCAGACTCAAGTTCGAATCATAATTTGAAAACATTGCCATTTTTCTTTCTATTCTTTTTTGTTCGAACGTCAAGTTTTGTATAGGACCCAAAAAAGGGTCATTGGTGATTTTGTGTAGATTCATGTTGTGCATAGATTTTCTTGTATGGGTGATACATTTTCAGAAATTTACAAATAATTGTGAAAATGCACGCACCCTTCATCCCAGTGTTCTCGCAATCTGTTGAGACCTCACTGCATGTTGTTTAGAGCATTCTACATGTACTCATATACGGAAGTCGGTGAATATATTATGTAAGTATGATGATTAAATCATCAGATAGATAGATCGATAGATTCATTCGACTATACCTCATACAAAAATGGTTTATAGCAAGTCAGTTCTAAAGTATAGATGTAAAATATTATATAAAGATGAACGAACAGAATGTTGGAATACACAATGAAAAGAATACGAAGATAAAACAAACATTACATTACAAGATAGCATCCTCGATCGTATCACAAGTATTTACATAAAATGCATAAAATTAGAGTTTTATTAAATTCATCGATCGAATAAAAACTATATTTGAGAAGGTCTTCTTCACAGTCGTTTTAAATTATATGTCATTCATATATTTAACCTGATTTGATGATTTATTGTGAAGCTCCGAATCTAACGATTTTTTCTCATTTTTGACTGATCTATAGCAAGGCACGAGTAAATCATTCGCACAGCAGACCGTGTGTTGATGAAGGCTAGAAACTTTTAGAATGTTCAGCCCAGGCTTAGAGCTTTGTTTATCGGACTATGTGAATATAATTTCAAGAAGATAAAGGAGATCATGTTCATAACATTTTTTTTAATAAACTGATCAACACTCATAATCTAAAACAATGTAACATGAATAACATTGTGTAAAATTGTGAAATCTCATGATATGAAAAAACCGCAATCTAAACAAATGAGCTTAATGATAGATTCACTAGGTCATCACAAAGCAGTCCTTTATCGACTCGAGGGAGTATACCGGCAAGACAATGAAGTAATGAGAGTGGTGAAAATTTAACGAATAATAACGACTTGATGATATTGCATAGCAAGAAAAACTTTTTTTTTTTCGTCCTTGGATATAACTGCAAGATGATATCTCTAGTATCTGGAATTATTGCAACATTTATCTTGCAATTAATGCCCAATTGACAGATTTGTTAATTGCAAGAAGTATCTTACAATTGAGTCTTGATTGATAGATTTATCCTGCATTTGAGCTAATAAGTGACAAATCTATCTAATTGCAAGATTTATCTTGCAATCATAACCTAAAAATCGTGAATGTGTTCAGGTGAGTGATATGGGTTGCGTGCAAGAACTGTCAGATGACCGACACTGGAGGCAAAACATTGAAACACAACGTCACTTTTCTTATTTGTTTACGAGTGATCGAATTAGTTTTCCACAATTATTTTGGCATATGAATCGTATTTTTCCGCTATCCATCAATTCGCTCATGCCATCACATTGTGCTGTTGTAAAATGCACAGAAACTGCAGCGGAAGATGAAGGATTCCGGATGGTACATTATGATTTAAAAGTAAGTACCTACTATAGAGTCACTCACATATAGGTTTCATTTTTGAAATTTGGTTATTTCTCTGATTTCTCATCGGAATTCCTTCTGCAATAAGAGCTAATAGAAATATACCTGAAATTTCTAGAATAATGCAAGAAGATTGGATTCATGCAATCAATCGGGAGGACTGGTCTGACATGCTGACGATCGTGTGTGTTGCAGACATTTTCAATCTATTAGCAGTATGAGCTTGTGTTGCAGAAGTGGCAGAAGGCAGAAGGAATTTTAATAAGGAATGGCAACATTTCATAATGATAACTATGTGAGATCACTATTCACCTGAAAAATCATATTCCCTAGTCTCTTGCTGCATTTTTTGTGCATTGTACAACAGCACAATGCGAAGGCATGCTTGAATTAAAAATAGCGCAAGAAACACGATTCATATGCCAAAATATTGTGAAAAACTATTTCAACTTTTTGATTCCTGTGTAAACAAATAAAAAAGTGAGGTTGTGTTTCAATAATTCACAGATGAGTGAGGTTGTGTTTCAATATTTTGCCTCCAGGGTCGGTCATCGTGCACGCGACCTATTATGGAATATACAGGGTGATTCATTGGGAAATCCGCATATAGTATGGGTCGAGGTAAGGGTAGATAGAGGACACCGAGAGGTGCTTCTGAATAATCCATATTTCATGGGTCTATAATTCTTTATAACATTCAAACAGGGTGATTGATTAATTTTCCCAATTTTTTTCAATCAATGATAACTTGTATGATATATGGTTCGTAATTTCTCTGTCCACGTTGGTGACGAAACATGATATATGAATCAGATCTTAGGATCTGAACTTGAGCAACAATTTTGAACACAACATAGCGTCATGAGTACTGCTTTCAAACTACCTCTCTTCACGAAGACTGCACCTATTGAAAGTGACGCATTCCCTTCCTTCGCACACCAATGAAAACACTGACTAGCAGCTCTGAAAGCCGTTTGGCTGAGCTCAACACCACACTAGGAAGGGTGATCCAAAAGACTACTCCAAAGGGAGTAGGGTTTGGTTGGCAAGTCTCAAGGGACACTCTTCCAGTAAAACGGATGTATGTCTTTCGAAATGGGAACCTCATAGAGAAAGGTACCAGCGGGTATCTCTCTTCCTTGATATGAAATGCTCGTCCCGTCCCGTCAGCGTATCATAAAAGTCTACCTGCCCTGGTTATAAGTTTGCAAAGTCCATACAGATTGTATAGAATATTCATTATTGACAATATCAATAACATAATGGTTAAGTGTGATGAAATTAGAATCATCACTTGTCCTTACCAATTTTCAATCAATTTTCAGTTCATTCAACATAAAATCGGAAAAACATAACAGTATCTATAGAAATAGATTGGATCTCCTGACTAGGATATCGAAAGGTGATTACAAAAAATATTCGAAGGAATATAGATTACTCCAGAATATCATGGTAAACAGTTGGAAAAATCAATGAAAAGGAAACAATTCCACAATAAACAATCAGAACATGGATAGCTGCAAAACTGGAAGTACCGACGAATCGATAAGGATATAGATTACTCCAGTCAAAAGAATAAAATTCCACAATATACAAGCACAACATGGATAGCTGCAAAACTGGGAAGTACCGACAAATCAAAGACGAATTTATTCACTGTTGCATGAAAACGGGAAAAAAGTTTGCTGAGCAAATATAAGAAGTCACACATGACTACCGTTGTGAAATATATATTGAAATAATATGGTCATACTACAAAGAGTATGTGGGACAATAGAGTGCTGACCTTCTGCGAGGGAATAGATCTCTTCAGGGAATGAACAAAAACACATGAGGTGAGGCTCCCTTGTCTCTCCTTGGGGCTCGTACCGTGAAGCCAAGGGACCCCGGAGCTGGGAAATGCGGGCTCGGGTGCCGGACTAGTGAGAGCTCCAACGTTGCCACATGTGCGGGCTCAGGCGATGAGCCGCGTGGGCTCAAATGGGCCTGTGCGGCTCAAAGGGGCCCAATTGGGCTCCGGCGGGGGGGGGATCGTGCGGGCTCGGATGCGAAGGCTCTGGCGGG